ACTGGCAAGCATCCAACAACTAGTCATCGTCATACAACGACTGGCAAGCATCCAACAACCAGTCATCGTCATACAACAACTGGCAAGCATCCAACAACCAGTCATCGTCATACAACAACTGGCAAGCATCCAACAACCAGTCATCGTCATACAACAACTGGCAAGCATCCAACAACCAGTCATCGCCATACAACAACTGGCAAGCATACTTCCCATACAACTAAAAAAGTTACCACTAAGCATACAACTGGCAAGCACACTTCTCACACAACGAGAAAAGTTACCACTAAGCATACAACAACCGCTAAAGTATCTCATGAAAAAGAATGTGATGATTTCTATTTCCAACATCATCCTAGATACACAGTTGTTAATGGTCATAGTATTAAAGTCGATGTGTCCTTAAAGGTTAAGGAAGATTTCTATAATCATTATCATAGTTTTGAAAAACAAAAAGAACAAGAAGATTATTACTTTAAATATCATTCCAAATATACAGTTGTTAATGGCCATACTGTTAAAGTCCAAGTATCCGAAAAAGAGAAACAAGCTTTCTACTTTAAATACAACAAAGTTGCTGATCAAGAAAAAGAATGCGAGGACTTCTATTATAAACATCATCCTAAATATACTGTTATTAACGGTAAAACTGTTAAAAACGAGGTCTCAAAATCAGATAAAGATAATTTCTATAGTAAATATTATAAGAAATATACTCAAGATGAGGAATGTGATACTTTCTATTATAAGCATCATCCTAAATATACAGTTGCTAATGGTAAAACTGTTGAAAGCAATGTTTCTCAAAAAGACAAAGAATATTTCTATAATAAATATTATAAGCAATATACTCATGATGAAGAATGTGATACCTTTTATTATAAACATCATCCTAAATATACAGTTGTTAATGGTAAAACCGTTGAAAGCAATGTGTCTCAAAAAGAGAAAGAAGATTACTATAATAAATATTATGAAAAAGATATTGAAGAAGAGTGTGACAATTTCTATTATAAACATCACCCCAAATATAAGGTAGTTAAAACTCATTCAACAACGTACTCTGTTGCAAACGTGGTGTCTCAAGGAGATAAAAAAGCGTTCTATGATAAATATCGCACTTGCACTAAAGTCCCTACCGAAACGTCTCCCGAAGAGGAAGAAGAAGAAAAAAGCAAACACAAAGTTCATAAATATAAAAAGCCCACTGAAGAAGAAGAAACAGAATCAAAACCTACTGCCACCTGCACTAAAAAGCCCGCTGAAACTGAAGTAGAAAATGATACTGAAATTAAGAAACACTCTCACCATCATCACCATCATCACCATCCTCACCATGAAGAAGAAAAGAAAGCTGTTACTTGTACTAAAAAGCCCCCTACTACTACTTGCACCCATGGAAATGAAGTTTGTACTACTTGTAAACCCGTACCTGCTACCTGCACTAAAAAGCCTGAAGAAGTAGTTGAACATGAATCCCAAAAGAAGTACCACAAGAAACATTACCATAAGAAACACCACCACCACTACAATAAAAAAGTGGTAGAAGAGAAACCTTGCACTACTACTAAGAAGCCCGTTGTTACTACCTGCACCAAGAAACCCGTTGAAGAAGAAGTAGAAAAGAAACCTTGCACTACTAAGAAACCAGTTGCTGTTACCTGCACCAAGAAACCCGTTGAAGAAAAAGTAGAAAAGAAACCTTGCACTACTAAGAAGCCAGTTGCTGTTACCTGCACTAAGAAACCCGTTGAAGAAGAAGTAGAAAAGAAACCTTGCACTACTAAGAAACCAGTTGCTGTTACCTGCACCAAGAAACCCGTTGAAGAAGAAGTAGAAAAGAAACCTTGCACTACTACTAAGAAGCCCGTTGTTACTACTTGCACTAAAAAGCCTGTAGAAGTAGAAGAACATGAATCCCACAAGAAGCACTATCACAAGAAGCACTACCACAAGAAGCATTATAAGAAACACCACTATAAAAAAGTAGTAGAAAAGAAACCCGTTGAAATAGAAGAAAAGAAACCTTGCACTACTACTAAGAAGCCCGTTGTTACTACCTGCACCAAGAAGCCCATTGAAGTGGTAGTAGAAAAGAAACCTTGCACTACTAAGAAACCAGCTGTTGTTACCTGTACTAAGAAACCCGTTGAAAAAGAAGTAGAAAAGAAACCGTGCACTACTAAGAAACCCGTTGAAATAGTAGTAGAAAAGAAACCTTGCACTACTAAGAAACCAGTTGCTGTTACCTGCACTAAAAAACCCGAAGAAATAGTAGAACATGAATCCCACAAGAAGCACCACCACAAGCATCACGCTAAAGAAGTTGAAGACGAAGAATCCGAGAAACCTGAAGAAGAAGAAGAATCAAAGAAGAAAATCATAAAGAAATATAAAAAAGTTCCTCATTACACAACCATTGAAAGTTTTGAAGTAGAGAAGTATACTACTTGTGTTCCAAAAGTAGTAGTAAAAACAGTCCCTCACTACGAAGTGAAGAAATATTACGTAAAAGAATCCTATAAAGTAAAATCCGAATATCCTGAGGAAGAGGACGTCGAAGATGAAGAGGAAACAAAACATAAGAAAAAGATATATAAAGTTAAAAAAGTAGAAGATGAAGATGAATATGAAGATGAAGAAGAAAAGGAGGGAGAAAAAGAAGAAGAAGGAGGCAAATTTAAGAAATGGAAGTTCATCCATAAACATAAACGCCCTTGCACTAAAAAAACTACAACAACAACTACCTGCACTAAAAAATATGAAGAGGTAGAAAAATACCAAGAGAAATATTATCCAAAACCTTGCACCACCACTACACCAGTCAAGGTTTGCACCACCACTACACCGGTCCACGTTTGCACCACTACTCCACCTCCCCCTCCACCTCCAAAACCCACCTGCACTAAAGTGAAAATTTAATCGATCTTCATAAACATTTGTGATTAAATTTTCTTTTACATTCCATTCTTGAAAGATTTAAAACATGATATAAAACATGGTATTTTAAATCTGAAATGGGCATGTAAATTTAGACTATAAATATTACTCAATATGTATACACGCTCTATTTTTTTTTAATTTTTATTTATTATTAATAATCTCAAGGTTAGAGCTACATGTTATTATTTATTCATGTACACCAGTGTAATAATAACAAAAATTCCAGTACTCAATAAAGTGAGAAGGGTACTGATTTAATTTATTGAAGTTCTTTAAAATAATATGTAACAGTATAATCACTAGTTTTTATAATATGTAATAATATGAGCTTTTAATATAGAAACATTTTTCTAACTTCATATTAGTTTGTTTAATGCTTACTGGTTTAATTCGTTTTACAAATTAATGATGTTAAATGAAATACAGTAAAGAAAATATAAGAAATTTTGCTTTGTGCAAACAAAAGACTTGGTTTAATAGTGATCAAATGCTACAAATTATCGTTTTGCATCGATTATTAAACCGATTTTTTAGTTTCGATCTTGCAATCAAAGTTTAAAGCAACTTCTTGTCTTACGATGTGCTTACCTTCTGCTCCTGCTCATTCCAATCATAATCAACCTTTGCATTTCTCCCTAATGTAAAAAAAAAAATGTTTGAAATATTCTTTATAAAGGTTCAAGTACAATTAAGGAATGTTATTACGTAATTAAAATAGCTGATGATTATCAAAAAATGTTTAAACCTATTTTTTTACCATCCCTAAGTATGGTATATCGATATCATACTTGAACTGATTTTCAGTCCATGTGACATTCTAAAAACAGATGTAATCGAACAAGAAATTCGTTTACCTTAGGGTTCTTGCTTAAGTCATAATTAGAATTAGAGCACTTGTCCCGATTTAATTAGCTAATTTATGATTCTCTTCACATGATTAAAAAGATTTTTAAAAAATTCATAATTTCAATCGATATAAGTTACGCTAAGAAAAAAAAAAAAAAAAAAGAGTTAGTGGGCTTTCGTGTTTATTATTTATTATTAACCAGAATCAGCCCTAGAAGGTCAGATCAACTAAATATATATTTAAAAGCCTAAAATTTTGGCATCACACGTAAGGCTGAATTTTATAAACAATAAATAATACATTTAAAAGCCCAAAGTCTCGTTTTTCCTTAGTGACACTTATATACATAATGATTCGGTGATTATCCTGCTAATTGTATGTAATTTCATAGTATGCCAGCGCGCTGATAATAATTTTGTTAGTATACTTCAGTATATCGATATACAGTATTTGAATATGGCAGAAGGAACGGATTGAAACGTTATATTTGCGTTTGATCGGGCGTCCCATTCAAATTTCAGGGGTTATTTACGATGATCATAATTTTCTATACATAGTTAATTCATGCAGGGTGCGTGAAACTTGTCATTAATAAAGATTGAGATTATTATTATTAACGTTAGATAAATCTTAGCTCGAGTATAATACAGCACATTACCTTGTCATTGCATTTTTGCCATTGTAATTTAACTTCCGAAAGTCAATTTCCACCAAATATACATAGAAGTATAGGCAGCATCATTAATTAAATACAATTAAATGTATATAGCAGTACCATCTATACTGAAAAATTCATTCAAAATATCAGGAAAATCTCATAGTACTGTAGTTTTCGGAAACTCATCAAATACGAATATAAAATTTATCGAAATCACTTTGTAGTCTTTATTGTAAATTTTATTTATGCTATATATGTTTGTATATTCAATGAATATGTCGAATGTTCATTTATAAGGCAATTTTTCACCTAAAAGTGACAAATAACAAAACAAAAACTTATGTCTAAGCCTTCTTTGGAATTCTAGTAAATAATTTCATATATGTATAATATAATGTAATACAGTCTTGATTCTCAATCACTTTTTTCCCGGATCAGAAGGTTGCAATTAACCTGTCTCTATATTTTTTTTGGCATTCGTTTGGGGAAAGAATTCTGAATGAGTTCAGTGCTATTTGAGTTTAATGTTGAACAGCTACAGAAGCTGATCGACCCCAAAAATTTAGAATTGCTTCGAGATTATGGTGGTCCTGACAAAATTCTAGAAGGTTTGAAGGTTAATCGTGAATATGGTTTAAGCTCTGATGAAGGCATAGACTCCTCATCAAAAGTGCAAAGCCCTTTTCAAGAAAGACGAAAGCACTTTGGAAAAAATGTATGTTTTTTCTAATCAAAATGCTATCAATGTTGCGCATCTATTAATATTTAAATCTTTAGGTTTTGCCAAAAATTGATCAGCAATCGTTTTTATCTCTGGTTTGGGACGCTTATTGTGATAGAACCTTAAGTAATCTTTAAAGATATTTATTTTCCAATATTTACATCTTTTCCATAATTCTGATAAAGGTTATAATTTATTTTTATAATTAGTTTTATTAAGTGTAGCTGCACTTGTTTCTCTTGCTCTTGGTATCAATGAAGATTTATCAAATCAATCTGATGAACCGCGTCTTGGGTGGATTGAAGGTAAACGAATGTTTTTTGTTACCTTAGATTTTATCTTAGATGCAATATATCTTTATACTGTTATATAAGTTTTGAATTTTCCTTACTTTTTTAGGTACTGCAATTCTTGTTGCTGTTATTGTTGTAGTTCTTACGAACGCAATAAATAACTATCAAAAGGAAAAGCAGTTTAGAAAGCTTAACGATAAAAAGGATGATCGTAACATCAAGGTGATTTCGTTGAATTAAACGCTTATGTTTAGTACTCAATAAAAACTTATATAATTAATTTTTAGCTTATTCGAGATGGTAAAGAGCAACAAATTTCAGTTTTTGAAGTCAATGTTGGCGACATCATGGTAAACATATGATGGTTGTTGTTTGAACCTTTTCAAGCTTACATTTAATGCTAATTCTCGTTACATAGATTCTTGAACCTGGTGATATAGTTGCTGTTGATGGTATATATTTAAGTGGTCACAATCTCACTTGCGACGAATCTAGCGCTACCGGTGAATCTAAAGCTATAAAAAAAGGTGATAACGATCCTTTCATATTAAGTGGAGCAAAGATTACAGAAGGCGTTGGTAGAATAGTTGTTATTGCTGTTGGTAAATAAATTTCTGTTTAGTATGTTGCATTGTTACTTAATACGTCAAATATGTCAGGTGTTATAAATTTTCTTCTCAAATAGGCATACATTCTTACTTTGGAAAGACTATGATGGTGAACATACACTTTTGCAATTCTTATAATCTCTTAACAAGTTTTTTTTTTAATCATAAGCATTACTTAATGTTTTTATTTAATGCATACATATTAGGCATTACGTCATGATGAAAGTGAAGAGACACCACTTCAAATCAAGTTAAACATTCTTGCAGAACAAATAGCGAAATTAGGAATTGCTATTGCGTTAATTATGTTGATGCAAGTATAAATATCCACTTTTTGATTTAAATGATGTAAAATGAAATTATCATTAATTTTTTAATAATACGATTCTTAGTACACTAATCCTTAAATATTTTATTAATGCGGCTATTTCTGGCCAATTTCCTCAATTACAAGAGATAATGGTCGCCATGACTGCTATTATTGTTCAAACAATTACTATTATCGTTGTTGCTGTACCAGAGGGTGTATGTACACTTATTATTAGGTTTTTTTTTTTTTTTTAAAAAAAAAAAAAAAACAAAAAATTTATGTTGAATGTTTATGCATATTAACCGCGTCTTAGTTGCCTATGGCTGTAACACTTTCGCTTGCTTACGCAACCACCAAGATGTTGAAAGATAATAACTTGGTCCGAATTTTAGCTGCCTGGTAGATACTATATGATGTTTTATGGTTTTTTTTTTTAATTATTACTTTTAAATTTATAAACATTATTTTCAGTGAAACTATGGGTAATGCGACTGCAGTGTGTTCGGATAAGACCGGTACATTAACTCAAAACAAAATGACAGTGGTGAAAGGGTTTCTTGGTCAGGAAAAGTTCGAAGATTACGATGAAATTCAACAATGGAAAAATAGGATTAATCAAAATACATACGATATTATTACACAAGGCATAATTGTTAATTCTACGGCATTTGAAGATAAGGATGAAAAAGGCCAATTGAATTTTGTTGGGTGTGTATAAAAATTAAATATCTAATTGATTATCTCAAACAAAATAAATTTACTGTACTTAATCCACTAGTTCTAAAACTGAATGCGCGTTACTTGAATTCTGCAAAGAATTTGGATTAGACTACAGAGAGATAAGAATTCAAATTAAGAAAATGAAGGTTTATCCTTTTGCATCAGAAAGAAAAAGCATGACTACAATTATTAAATTACCCTCAACTAGTACTTCTTATAACAAAACTTCAGAACAAGTAGGATATCGTATTTATGTTAAAGGTGCATCTGAAATTGTTTTTGATGGTTGTACACATTACGTTGACGCTGAAGGTCAAGTGCAGAAATTGGACGATAAATCTAAACAACAATTCAAAAACATCATCTCTGAATATGCAGGAAAGGCTTTACGCACAATTTGCATGGCATATCGTGATATAACTACCAGTGAACTTGAATCTATTAGTGATGAAAATCCACCTATTAATGATCTCATTTGTTTAGGTATAGTTGGTATCGAGGATCCTCTGCGTCCTGGTGTTACAGAATCCGTTAAAATTTTTAAAAAGGCTGGTGTTTCTGTTAGAATGATTACTGGTGATAACTTAGCAACTGCAAAAGCAATTGGAAAGAATGCTGGTATCTATAAAAATGGTATTGCTATAACTGGACCTGAATTTCGTAAAATGGAAAAAAAAGAACAGCTCAGTATAATCCCTCGATTAGAAATACTTGCACGTTCTTCACCAATGGACAAGACTATTGTAGTTTCTCTTCTTAAAGAAGAGGGCGAGGTTGTTGCTGTTACTGGTGATGGTACTAATGATGGTCCCGCTTTAAAACTGGCAGATGTTGGTTTCAGTATGGGAATTGCCGGTACTGAAGTTGCAAAGGAAGCATCTTCTATTATTTTAATGGATGATAATTTCAATTCCATTGTCAAAGCATTGAGATGGGGTCGTGCCGTTAACGATAGTGTACGCAAATTTTTACAATTTCAACTCACAGTTAATATTACAGCAGTTATAATATCTTTCACTAGTGCCGTATTAAGTGATGACAATGAATCCGTATTAACAGCTGTACAACTACTTTGGGTTAATCTCATTATGGACACATTGGCAGCACTTGCTTTGGCGACCGAGCCTCCGACTGATGAACTTTTATCCCGCTTACCCACTATAAAGAGTGCATCATTAATTAATTATCGCATGTGGAAAATGATTATTGGACAAGCGATCTTCCAAGTGGCCGTCAATTTGACCTTATTGTATATGGGACCAGCTATTTTTCATCTTGATGTTGATAATACTCAGGATGAGACCGTATTTCGTACCTTGATTTTCAATAGTTTTGTCTTTCTCCAAATCTTCAATGAGATCAACTGTCGACGTATTGATGATAATTTGAATGTTTTTGCCAACATTTTTAGCAATCATACATTCATAATTGTTCAGATTTTTATTGTAATTGGACAATTTGTTATCGTTCAATACGGGGGTGTTGCCTTTGGAACAACAAAGCTCGCTTGGTATTATTGGCTTGTGACTGTTTTAATTGGATCTCTTTCCCTACCCGTTGGTGTGATTATTAGACTTTTTCCTAATACCTGTATACCAGATCAGATCCTTAATGAGTATTATAGGCCAAAGGTCACTAAAGAAAAGATGTTATGGGAACAGGCAATTCATGATGTAAGATCTGAACTCAGGGTATTTGGCGCTATAAGGAAACCCCACAAGCCCCACAAACCCCCAAAATTACTTCAAGTTGTAAGAGACATGCATAAATAATTAATCAGTTTTACCCTTATTCGTTTTTAAAGTCTTGGTTTGGAAATTATGTTATTCTATTTTTTAAATGAGTAACTCACAAATTTATCATTTTATATGATTAAGATTTCAATATATACCTGTATATTTCTACACTAGACTGGCTAAATTATTTTTATAAATTTCGATATGTTAGAAACTTACGGATCTGTAAAGGGTTATATGTTGTAAATAGGAATGGAATGTTAAATTAGGGTTAGTATAAGGGCGTTCATATGATAAAATCAACCCCACTTAGATTCCGTTCCCACTTACAACATATATATGAACTGTCCTATTTTGCTAAAAAAATTTCGTTGTTAGATCAAATTAAGGTTAGGATGAGATTTAGTAGTACCAAAATTTCGCGATGAACCTTTTTATTAGCGTACATAAGGTGGTTTCATAGGTAAAATGTTGAGTTTTTGGAATTTTGATTTTTTCCCTGCGTTACACCTGAAATTTTTTATGTTGGTAACGCTAAGACAATTATATATGGATTTGGCAGATTTCGTCGACACCTATTTCACTAACGGCCATTTCACCGACAGCCCACCTCCCTGACAACTCATTTCGCCCGATAACCCATTTCCCCGACAGTTCATTTCGCCGACAATTCTATTTTGCAGACTTTCTACGATCCACCTCTAGCCACTACTAACTATAAAGCGATCATAAATCATAAATTGTCGAAATGACTGTCGGTGAAATGCGTTGTCAGAGAAGTGAGATGTGATGAAATGGCCGTCGATGAAATAGGTGTGGCGAATTAAGTGTCGGCGAAATTGGGATGAGCCGTAGGGATTACAGAATTTTAGTATGGTACGAGTGACAATTTTAAAAAGGAGTTACAAGATCAGTATGGCAGTATGAGGTATAGTGCAGGCCGAATTTTAAACCGTACCATACTGATCCGGTCAGTAATATAACACTGATCTTCGTAATACTGGTGCTATACCACATACCATACTGATCTCACCAGTTGATCTTCGTATTGTAATACGGGTACTATATTGATATAGATCTGGATGGCTTTCATATGATTTGTTGTTTAATTTTACAGTTTAAAAAAAATACGACTACAAAGAATAGATGAAAAAAAAGTATAAGAGGCATTATTGGTGTTACAGGATCCCACAATCGAAAATGATCAAATCCCTTTTTGGATTAAGTTAGCATGGTAATAATTTAGTTTGATCTATTTTTAAAAGTTGTTATACTACTAACTTCGCTAAAACAAAAAGGGAGTCCTACAACCATAGTAAACCTTCTATACACTTTTTTTTCATTTATTTTGTTTTTTTTTTTAAAAAAAAAAAGTACTTTAAACTGTATAAAATGTAAAATTAAATTGATTTTAAACATTCAATCATATAAAAATCAAATTTGAATTTACAAGATTTAACTTATAATATTCAAGAATGGCTAATGACTGAACATGTCAACTCGGGAATACAATATATTCAGACAGTGATTAAGATTAGTGGCTTAACCTGTCTGTCACAGATTACGGACGTGAGCGCCAAACTAATATCTACGTCAAATTAAAATAACTATAACTCCGTTAATACCTACCCTCACCCTAACCCTAATAAAACTTGGTATTTAAATTTTGACTTGACGCAAATTTTAGGTTCGATTCATATACTTGACGCAAATTTTAGGTTCGATTCATATACTTGACGCAAATTTTAGGTTCGATTCATATGAAAAAAATATGTGATTCGAATAATTAAGTTGATTAGAGCTTTAGATCACATCAGAGACTCTCAAATATTGGACATGGGTTTAGACCAATTGGAATTAGGTCTCTTACTAATCAAAGAATGATGCACTTTTAATATAAGCACACGTTTTTTGCTGATTCATATCATAACTCACAATTGGCTGAATAATATATATGGACACATGACGTGCTGGTGCTTTTGTTTTTGGGATTGGATCTTGGACTAAACCTAGGTCCTGAAACTTATCATATGAGAGTTCAGTCCAAAGATCAATACAGCAGGATCTGAAAGTCTTAGAACCAAGACTGGACTTGGACTGACTTACCATCCCTAGTAAAGATACTGGTGAAATTAATTTCGCAAAAATTTCACCAATAGTGATGAATTGACCCATCTATTGACATGTGGCGTGATTTTTATTAATAATAAGGTATTGAATTTCTCGCCAATTTAATAAATACAAAAAACTTTATGTTTATCATTGCTTTTTAAAATTTATAGCAGGTGTGAGCTATGCCTCATTCTAGCCTATCATATCTTTTTTGATTTCTTGATATTAGATTATCAATCTAACTTATCATATTTCAACAGATACAACATACATCACTATAAGCAAAGGTTTTAGACATCAACACTACAACAAATATAATTTTCTGTTCCTGGTTTTGCGCGATAAATGTTGCGCAGTTACGTACTAATTGAGAATATGCGACATAGCAATTATATTCGTCAGCATCATCAGCTGAATTCGTGATGCATAGCGTTACCCAGTGGTTTCTCACCCTTTATAAAGTAGGCCGACTTTGATATGAAGATCCAAAGATACCACAAAATAGTAGGATTTAAAGATTTAAGTGTTCGGCGAAATGCTTTATGATCTGTTTGTAGCGTCCCTTCTTATGTTAGAGCATAACAACGGAGTAAGTTGGTTCCAAATTGAGTAAAGTTTACTTACGTATCTGAATTCACGTGCTTTTCCCACGCGACTTATCTACCTACTTGATTTGGTTAAATTGATCATTAAATACCGATACTAATTTAACTAATAGTCTGAGGTACTGTACCAAGTTTCTTTTGACATCCTTGCTTAGCCATCTTTTCGATCTGTAGACAACTTGAATTATATACTAATCAATTTTCAGAATCTTTCAAGAACTTTATCGATTTCATCAAAAATGTCAATTTTAGAATTCTTTGTTACTATTGTTATACTATTCATTCTAAAGTTCTACTATGACTATTTCATTCGTTCAACACCATATCCAGGTCCACTTCCCTTACCTATCATAGGTAACCTACATCAATATTACTATCATAGTAACGATTTTTTATCTTGGCTTCACCAATTAAGTTCGAAATATGGTGATGTATTTGAATTGTACTTTGGATCTTGTAGATATTTAATGATTAGTGATCCGCGAATCGTTGAAAAAGTTATGAGTCCAGTAAAAGATAGTAATTATTTTGTACGTGTTACTGCTAAAGATGGATTAGAAGAATTAAAGAAAGGCAATAATGGATTATTATTTAATATGGATCTAAATTCTTGGTCTTATATTAGAAAATTTTTTAAAGTGATAATGACACCTAATAACTTAAAATTAGAAATATTAAATAATGTTTTTCAGGATTTAGAAAGATATTGGAATTGTTTAATTGAAAAACATGGACAATTTCTGATTGATGAACAAGAAAAATCAGTGGAAATTGATTTTGTACCTTGGTCCAGAAAATTTTTCGCAGAAACAATGATGCTTTTAACAGCCAGTAAGAAACTTGATTTATTATCGAATCATTATAATAGGATTATAAAGAATTTCAACAATAATCATGATTCAAATGAAGAATTTTTGGATCGCATAATTCTTGCTTCTGATTGTGTACAGTATTATATAGTGGTTCCACCATTGATACGTAATTTCCCACTTATAAAGTTTTACACAAATTATCTATACAAGAATATAACTTGGACAAGAAATTATGCTTGTGATCTGGTCAAGGAAAATAGAAAAATTATTGAATCCATTGACGATAAAGAGGAATTAACGATTGATATTTTAAATATGTTATTAACCGCAAATACATCAAAAGACATTACTCGAGGTATTTCTAATGATAACAATACGCCTATGACTGATGAAGAAATTGCCGACAATGTGGTGGAAATACTTAGTGAAGGAATTGATAGTGTAAGTATTTAGTATTAAAATGATTATTGAACATTATTTTTAAAATGTATATTTACTAATTATTATTATTATTTTAAAGCCTGCAAATACTTTATCGTTTATTGTTTATTATGTTGGAAATAATTTGGATGTTGAGAAACTTATTATTGATGAAATTGAACGAGTTTTTGGTCATGGATCTGATTTTAACATTACCTATGAAGATTTAAGTAAACTTGAATATATCGAAGCTGTGATAAAAGAAGGTAATCTTCTAAGAAAGTTTTTTTTTTTTTTAATTACAAATAATAGTTCTTATCTAACATTTATATATATATATATATATTTAGCATTAAGAATTAGGCCAATTACGGCAACTATTTCTCGTTTTTCGGAAAAATCTGATCAAATTGATGAGTATAAAATTCCATCATCAACACAATTAGCGATTAATGTTATGGGTTTACACATGAATCCAAACTATTGGGAAAATCCTAAGGAATTTAATCCTTCAAGGTTTTTAGCAGATAATAACAAACCTGAAATTAACAAGAATGCGTTTATGTATTTTGGTGGTGGATTACGTATGTGCCCAGGAAAACACTTGGCAATGACTCAACTTAAAATGCTGATTACTTTGTTATATAGTAAATATAAATTACAGGTAATTACCAAAGAACCTTCACTGCAAAATAATATTAATACTCAATGTAAGGAGTTGAAAATCAGAATTAACTGTAGAAAATGATTTAAATATGCTGTGAATTTGTTCAGACAATAATAAAGTTTAATCAAATGATCCCAAATTAATAAATGTTGCGACTGATGTTGGAAATGGCCAAAGTTTAAAAATGGAATGTACAAATTTTATATTTACAGAAAATACATTTGGTAAATCTAATCATAATGTTTAAAGACGTTAGTTATATATGTATCATTTATTTCCTTGGAGCTTAAAAATTACAACAGAGATTCCCGATGATCATAGGATAACAGATGGCCCGAAGGGCATATGACCATCGTGGAATCCTCTCTGCTGTAATTTTAAACTTCTCAGGAAATAAATGAATAATCCCCTGCCTTATGTTATTCATGACCACCTAAACATTCTAATTTTCACATGATCGGGAATCTCTCATAGGAAGATTCTGGTCACATAGGAAATTAGAATGAAGGTGGTCATGAATAACAAATAGTAAGGCAGGGGATTAGGCTAATTAATTTTGGACATGAACCAAAAGTTTTACGGTAGTATATTTTATTTAAAATTATTTAGTGATGTGTGATATGGTTTGTGATCTGTGTATTTGTAATCAGTGATGTTAATTTGAACTCTGAATAGAAATGTCTCGTCAACTGACCAACCCGTCAGATAACATTAATTTCCATAATTCTTTAAAAAGCTAACCTTGAGTCCAAATAATCTATTCTTAGACAAATGTATTCCTAATTACCTTCGTAAATTTTGCTTTCCAAATACTTTAGTTTTAAGATTTTTCATTGTGAATGTTATCAATACTTTTTAAATGTTTGTGATAATGGTCTATACAAAAAAGGACTTTAAAAAATACATTATAAATAAATTAATTATCCGGGAAACTACTTAGGTTGAAAAAAGGGTAAAATGATTCCAAGGAAAATACGATTGGAACAAAGGTTGCGCAACTATATAATACTATCTAAAATACTTTACTAATGAAAGCAATTTGATCAGAGTATTTAGGCTAAGTCACAAGTCTTAAATTTATATGATTTATATTTAAGTATTTGCTAACCAGGGGTTAATAAAGTAAACCACTTTTATTGTGATGTTAGGTTCTAATTGGATTGTTTATTTAAGGCAAGGACTTGGGACTTTAATATATTTAAAAACTCAAAGTCTTGGCAATAGAGATACCAGATATCCGGATATTTCATGACCAATTTTACGAAAAATGACGTAACAAATTAATATTATATCATTATTAGCATTGCAAATTATGACTACATTTAATTTAAGTCTAATAGATACGATTCCTTTGCTTGTATTAAATATTTTAATGCTTACGACCAGTAATTAAATTTGCATTACAATTCACCCTTGCCGTAACGAATACCTGGATCGTATTTCTGCTTTGCAACACTAATAATACATACTACTGATGTGAACCAACTTGTTTCGGCACCATTTGGCACTTTCTACAAATACACATTTTGATCGGATTTTGTCAATATTCAAAAATTATGACATATAGTCGTATGATAACAAATTTTTCTTTCGAGTTAGTTACGGCAATTTGGGATTCGAAACTATCGGGTTTGGGTTACATCACTAATACGTACGTGTCGCCGATCAGAAGAATGATTTGGATAAACAATAAATGATAAATTTGAGGCTCAAAGTCTTATTCCCTTGGCGGCACAGATATGACAGATCCTTGCGTCCAGAGAACGATAAAGTTAAAAAATATAACCCTAATTTCAAGACTTCTAACGTAGCATATTGTTTACAAATTGTATTTTCTTTATCATTACTTTTTTTCATATATTCTGATTCATTTTTCTATAAAAGCTGAACCCTAGCTCTTGTTTCATTTCGAACTAACGATTTTGTTAAAATAGAAAGTTTTCATAGCCTTTTATTAGCAAAGATAAACTTTTTTTTTTGCCGTTTACCATATATTACTGATCAAAGGCAATCCTGAATAAACTCAACACTTTACTTTCTCCCCAAAAAAATAACCAAAAAAATTACTCAAAGAAAAAAAAATCTTTTCTGCAGCACTTTGACTTTTTTATTTGGTAACATATGTATTATTATGAGATATTTGAGCGTTCAGATAATAATGATTTGAATTAACCTATACTTGTAAATATTTCATTCTAATTCGGATCTTTGAAGAACCTAATACTTTACCCAGCTACTATGGCATACTAAACTGGATGCAGGATCTGGCTTATTGACTTACGTATGTCTGGTTACAGATTTGACTGACCACTTCGGTGGTGATCTGAGGCTCACTTCCACATGTACGTACGTACAACAGGAGGATCCCACACATGGTGTGATCAATTAAAACTGGAATTATTTTAATTGATCACACCATGTGTGAGATTCACTTTTGATCGGGTACATTCCCTCCTGTCGTACGTACGTATTGCATAGGGCAAACTATTGTAGACTCTGTAATAGTTTGTATCATATAATATGAAATATCCCCGTTGGTCATTTTGACCCGGATCAAAATATAATTTCTATTATTTTATTATATGAAACAATAAATATTAATTTCCTATGCAACATAATCAGATTTACGCATTAATTTTTATTGTAACTATTACATTAATATTTATCATATTACGATAATAAATATAGCCCAACAAAAAGGAACGTCGATATTACACAACTAATCCCACACCTGGCATTGGGCACATAAAAAATTATTTTACAATACGGGATCATTCTGCTAGTCCATGTTACGGTTATAATGCTTCACCATTAAAACTCAAAACCCGGTGACATTTACTTTGCCGACAATCATTTCACCGACAGCTTATTTGACCGACATCACATAAGGTTAGATTAGCATTTTATTAGTCGCTGTTATATATTTTTAGCAAATTGTCACTTGGCATGATGTCGGATAAATGAGCTGTCGACGAAATGATTGTCGGTGAAATAATACGGACCCTTTAAAACCTATGTGCGTGAAGTGCACACGTTGCTAATCTTTAAGGTGCGCGGAAAATTTTTTAATGTGCGTTTGCAATTAAAATTTAACTAGATTTATGGGTCCAGTATTCAGAAATTGCATAAGAATATGACAAGTTTTCATAACAAAATCTCGTGATGATTTTCTGTAAATGAAAATTTATTGAGTAATTATTGACAAATTCAGGTGACAATGACGGGATCAACCATTCTATTTAAAAATTAATAATCTTATGATTCACGCTTATGAAACATGAATTTCCGTTATATTTAATAATAACAGACAATGCTGCAATGGAATTGAAAATTCTCACATCCTACTTTATCTGACAAAAATTTATTAAAGAAATCTAATATTATAAAAATTTTTAAAAAGATTTTATTCGACATGCGTATAAAAATTACATATGAATAAACACAACTGGTCTCTAGTTTGGCCACATATATACTATAATTTATTTTTTAAAATTATATTTCAAAATGAAGGCGAATTTAAGTAGTTCTTATCTTTAATCACATATTTTAAAATTATAGTATCTGATTTACTTTGTATATATATAGAGAAGAACTCTTCCCTTTATTTATTATAGGATTAAGTTCATTTAAAAGAATATATTTGGAACTAAGCGAGAATATCTTTTGTATTTTGAAACTTAATACTAACGCTACATTAAAAAGATTATTATGATTAACATCCTTTTGAAGTTTATTAAAAAATATATAAACAAGGTAAAATTTCCATTTAACACGTTATTTTGTGAACAAATCCTCTCAAGTTAACAGAGAGACTAGAATAATATTTTCTAAAGTGATAAAAATAATTTTTTAACAGTGCAAAATTCGCACAAGATCATGAAAGCATTTACCATTCTTATTATCCTTGCTATACTGAACTTAGGGTTAGTGGCTCCTGCACTTTCACTATCAGAAGATTGTAGAAGTGCCTTTTTGGAGTTCATTACTGATAACTCCACTGAAAAGTGTTTACCAGTTAAAGAAGTCCTTCGTTTGTCCGCGATTGCAGATCCTAAAGCAAATGCAACAACGAAAGCAAATACTATTACAACGTTTGCTACTAATGTATGTCCATTATATGAAAAATGTGGCGACACAGAAATCGAAAAAATATCTGAAAATGGAAAAAAACTCATTTCAACAGGCTGTGCTAAAGATCTTAATACTACTGATCCGATTGCAGTACTTGCACTTTCTGGTATCACATTGTACCCTCCAATCATAAAATCTCTGTGTTTCCAGGACAATTCTACGAAATCTTTCTGCTTTCGCGAAGATGCAGCTACAATCCAGGCTTTGCCGCAACCGAACTTTACATTTATAGATAAATCTATCGATAAAGTTATCTTCAGTGATCCTAACCGCTTTTGTGTTCCATGCTTTCAGAATATAATCAACACTATATTTGATTTCATTTTCAATCCAAATGATAAAGCGCGTGAAGCCTTTAATGCTCTATTAACACTCCTTGAAGTTTTAAAAGTACCTTTTACATCATTACAATTATCACAACTCAAAACTACTGTTATGATTAAGTGTGGTTTTAAGTTTTTAGATAACCCCGGAATTTAAGTGGCTAAAATCAACCTGCATTAAATCTACTTTGATGTTTTTAAATATTATATATTATACTTTTTACCATTATACACGTTTAATTTAATGAAATTTCTTGTTACATTGGTTTTTACTTTCTTGTAACAGTCAACAAAAAACCCCTATTTTCTTAATATGTTAACATTTTACTAATTTCATGAGGGTTTAAAAGGCTGGACTTATCATAGTTTTGTAATATCAAAATAAACGACAAAAAATGTTTATTTTGAATTCTAATTAATAAAATTTCAGAGCACAGGATTATATTTGCTAACTTGTATTATTTTAATCATAAATTAACTAACTCAGATTTTGGTAGTAAGGTTATCCCTTAAACCGTTTCCAGGCAAATTTGCCTGGAAATTTCATGATTGATCTGAGATTAAGCTATCAAATTATATTGAATTGTAGTCTAAATCGTAGTAGATACGTAGTTAAATTGACGGTTTAAGGGATAATACATATTAATTTGATCTAGTGTTATCACTATAGTATACTATCTACATTGCATGAATACTAAGTAGCAATGATGACGTTCATAGAATTAGCAATAAAAAAGTAATTATTCGAAGAAATTTCAAAATTACAAAATAATCTACATATGGAACCACCCTCATCAAAAGAAGGGGATGGGCCAAACAATTAGAAATTTTATTCTTATGCTAATTTTATTTTAATCAATCTAATTCTTCAAGATATTGAATTTGGTTAAAAAAAAATTTTTTATCCCATCCCCTCCTTTTGCTGTGGGGTCCCATATAGTAAATCATACATTCTTTATATCGTAGTCATTATAATAAACTATTATACTTTTTATGTTTTCTATTAGAAAAGTTGATTATAGAGGCCTGCACAGGCCGGGCCAAAATTTTAAAATTTTAAAAACCTCTCAAAATTGCGGGCTTGATAAGGTATAGACATAATAAATGCAGGCTTGATAAGGTATAGACATAATAAAATGCGGGCCGAACATTCAAAAAACATAGTAAATTTTATTTTGCGGGCCGAGTGGTCCGGCAAAAGTTCAAATTTTTAGGCTCGTGCAGGTCCCTAACCCTAGTAATGTGCCATTTATATGATAGCCTAATTTTTCGTGTACAGTATGTATAGTAGTTTTATGTCATGACTAACTTATGAAAATAGAATTAATAGGTGTCATTTCAGATTTAACTCAAGATAAAACTTTTGTAAAGACAATTATATTATATTTTTAGTTATTAAAAAAATAAGTGAAAATAATAGTCATATATGAATTAAATTGAAGTCAGATTAAAATAAATTTTTTATTTTTTTTTAATATTAATGGTGAGGTCATGACATTATTTTTTTTTTTTTTAATATTAATGGTGAGGTCATGCCTTTATCTTTATTGAATATTTTTTATTAAATATTTATTTGAAATTTTTGCATAAAGCATAAATTTATTTTTTTTAAAAATTTTATAAAAAGAGTAGAAGTTCAGACTAGCTTATCTGTGACCTAAGCCAACAAGAGTAGTCAAGGCTCACCTAGATTTGAGTGTTAGTAATTATATATAAGAGGTTAGTTTTATATTTGATTCATTATATATATTAAAAATTAATTTCAGAGCAAATTAAATTAGAAAGATGAGATTGAGATGAGTGTGAAGTAAAATTAAAAAGTGAGCTAAAAGTGAGAGGTAAGTTTTTGATCTTGAAATACAGTAGAAAATCTAAATTTTATAATATATTTATTGATTAAGATGAAGTAAATATTTAATAAAAAGTGTTATAGTTATTTTTTTAGATGATAAATTTGAGATAATAGAGATAATTTCATTTGGTACTAAGCTTGATAAGGTTTATTGTATTGTGTGTAATTATACAATACAGTTGTTTAATTTGGCAGTATAGTTTGGTTATAGTTTTGGAAATGGTATCAAATGTATTTGTATTTAGAGTATGCTATAATAAACTATCAATAAGATTGTATAGCAGTTGATCAGATGGACATGTTATCCAATGAAGGTAAAAACTTGTTTCATAATATTGATAACAAGTTGGTAAGTATAAGTAATATTATTTGTATAAAATATATAAATTAAAAAAGTTATCAAATAAAATTTTAATTCTAAAGGATTTAAGAACAGAAGATTAAAAGTTACATGAAAAGGTTAAGATTTTTTAATTATTATTAATGTATAGCCAAGTGGCTTGCTAATTAATTTGGTTAAAGATTTTGTTCCAGTTTTAAAACTGGTTTTGTGTAATTCATAGTGCATAAATATGTGCATAACAAATTATGATTAGTAGTTAATTCTAAAGATAAATTTTTAAAATTTAGAGTATAAGATAGGTTATAAATATTGTAAGATATAAAAGTTAGATATAGTAGGTTATAATAGTTTTATGCTAGTTGGTTAACAAGATTGTTATATATGTTGTCTTGATATACAGTAACTTTATAAAAATAATTTAAATTTTGTATAAGTTAATAAAGTTAATTAGTAAGTTCTATAGTAAAAAAAATATAGTGTATATATATAGAACAAAGTTATAGAAGAGTATAAAATATTTTGGTATTTAAAAATTACAGATTGAAAATCTGTATATATTTATAATATTATTTCTAAAGACTGTAATAAGAGCAGATAGAATAGTAGTTAGTAAACAAACCCAAATTTTTACTTGAGTTTGAAATATATATAGTATAGAGTTATTAGAAATTTGAGTCTATTCAATATCTATAGAGCATTGTGAAGTACCCAAATTAATAACAGAGCTATCTATATAAAAATAAAGTTCTGATAAATTAGTATTATAGTTGGCTATTATTGAAGGTTATATATAAGTAAACTAAATTTAAAAATTATAAAAATTAGATGAATAGTAATAGTAATATTTGAAAGGTGCTTGTAAAAAAAACTCTTTTTGTAAATTCTAATTTACCAAGAAAATAAAAATTAAATATATATAAAACAAAAACAAACAAAAAAAACTAAATAATTATATGGCAAAAGCTTATATTAAGCCTAATAGTAACAACTAATAACTAGATATAGACATACCAACAACAAATAAAGCAAAGATTAAAAGAAAAAGAGATAAAGAAACTACTTCTACAACTAAAGAAGATATACAATGGCCTCAGGGTTCTACATCTGAATTTTCTTTTTATACTTAGTTACAACTAGCAATAAACAACAAGATAACAAATAAAATGCCAAAAGATAAAATTAACAACAAACTAGACAATACCTATACTGACCAAGTAATAAAAAAAAGATGTACACTTCTTTCTAGAATAAAAAATAATACAAAAAGTAGGCAATTGGGTACATTCCTATTTGAAAATGCAATAACATTATTTCATACTAATGATAACAACAATAAACCAGTTGTAACAGATTCTAAAAATATAAGTGCAAACATGACAGACAATAATAATAAGCAAAGAATTATTTTTTATAATAGCAAGCCTTATATTACTATAAATAGTAATAATAATATGCTGATAGAGACAAAACAGATCCAATTACCAAAACTGATAATGAAATAATCATCTAATATATAAACAACAACTAGCTAAAATGCCATGCATGCAATGAAAAAAACAACAACAAAATGGAACAGAATCAGTAGATATCATAGCTAGTCATCAGACAAAACCCAGACCCAAAACCTGTAGTCAAGTAACAAAACAAAATATTGTAATAGAAGAAAGAATGCAAACTGATAATGAACAAGATTATAACCAATTATGAATAGACACTATGTAGCCAAATATCAGAAAAGATAGCATTAAATTTTTTGATATCAACAGATAGAATTATGACAAAATTATAAAATCACTTAAAAATAAACAAAGAATTACTGAATTTATAATATATAAATTGCAAACCAATATACTAATTATATAATTCATCTGTAATTAAAGCAAAATTCAGACATCTAGATACTGTGTTTTTTCTCATCTTTACAAGAACAAAGAAATTTATATCTCCACATCAAGCTGCTATGAAGAATTGTTTGAGAAAGCATTAATGATATACAAAAACCTAAATGCAATTACTATTACAGACAAAACAATCTTAGATATTATATATCCAAAACTTTAACAAAAAATTATGATAGATTTTATTACTAATAAAAATTTTAATGCAGTAACTTCTAAGAAAGTTTATTAAATAATTAAATACTATAAAGAATTTACAAAGAAACAAGCACTTGTTAAAACAGAAGATATTTAAGAAGCAATCAAAATAGTATTTGCAATACTACTTGAACCTCTTTCTGCAAATCCAAAACAAATACCTGAAAACATCATACAAATGCTGCCATTCAAGTTACTAATCAGTCAGCATGCACATACAAAGGCTATTGTTATTCTATTACACAAAATCTTTCACTTTGATCAATTATCAGAGGAATATTTTATCAAACTAGAATTCTTGCTAACAGAGATATCAAAGATAAACTCAGCAGTAAAGGGTCTATTTCCAATCACAAGCCAAAGTGCACTACAAAACCTAGTATTTTATAAAAAAAGACTACAGGATTGGTATAACTATACAACTATTCTACTAAACTACTTTAACCTTCTACCTTCAAGAAAACCACTTTTACTAGCATATTAAAATCTAAGCAGCAAATACAAACTTTATTTTCTTATTGATATGCAAAACTAAGATAAAAACTTACCAGACTTAGTACAATAACTAAGAGAAGACTACTATTTTAAAAATATTCCAAATAACTACTTTAAAGCTAAACTATTATTTCCAAAAAATATAAAAAAGATACAAATTCCAGATATCTTTACTTTTCTAATTCAAAAAGATGCAATTGTAAAGCATTTTGTTAAACATATCTCTCATTTTCATTTTTACCAAACATCATGACAGCAAATCCTACTGATAAACCCTGACTACCTAATAACCTACAACTTATTAATGACTACAACTGTAACAATACTATAATTTCTCTGTAATTTTTTTTTCATTATTTTTCTAAGTCTTT